GTGTTTTTGCCGCTGTTAGCCGGTATTAGCCGATGTGTTGGTGTTACTGAAACTGTCTTTTAAGTGGATCTAAAATGGTTAGACTTAGACACAAATAAACTCTCATATGAAGTGAGAATGTAATGAAACTGTTTAATCAGTGGGAAAGTGGGATTTTTTAGGACACTCGAGCCTAACATTAGCTAGCATAATGCTAGCTTAGAACCATCAGTTGATGTTTAGTCGGCTCATTGTCAGCTTTCTGGAGATGGGAGGGTTGCATTTTTAATTTGCTAACAATAATTGGGCCCATGCCTATCTATTTTTGATAGATTAATGACAAAATTTTGATAACGCATCAATTTGTAAATTATACATGCTAATCAATGCATTTTTTATTAAATAAGCTAAAAAAAATGACTTGCTTTATCTTAAAAAACGAATACAGTGTAAATTTATAAGTTATACAAAGACCACTGAGTTTGCAGCTGCTATTAAAGGGAAAATACGCTATAAACAATTCTTTTTTTTTTGCACCAGGCTGTAGACAGCTGCATTTGTTCTATAAAGCTGGGTATTTTAACTATCTGTTGTCTGTGAGAATTCACTCATAGACGTTACTATCTATCTAATATTTCCCCCAAAACAGTTATTTTAACTAATTAACGACAGCAGGACTTGGTTCGCTAAAAATATTAGAGACTTCTAGCGTTTTAGGAATTTCACTAAAGACAACCTCTTTCAGTGAACAACTTCAGCCTTCGTGAAGGGACCCTCAAGATCTCAGGCAACAGCCCGCGTTTGTTTGCAAAAATGTAGTTGAAGAGAGCTCTGGGAATAAAAGAGGGCCGTCTAAAAATGCACTAGTCCTAAATAGTGCTCTCGGCTCTGTGTATTCCCACACAAATTTGCATAAATTTCATAGTCTAAGTCATGGACTGTGGCTGGAGCGTGTTATTAGTCTATCTATAGGTGGTAGTACAGACCGATCACACTGAGCCTTGTTGTTATCTCACTGAAAGCACCCCGGTATTACACCCTGCGGATTGAGAGTGGGTTCTTAAGATCGTGGGATTTGTTCACATATTAAAGCATGTCTGTTTGGATGCGCGGAAAAGAAACAGGTGTTCAGTGTTTATGTGTGTGTGAGAGGGAGAAAGCGGGAGAGCGCCTGTGTGTCTTTGTGTTTTCCTTCTGATGTTTGTTCGAAAGCGCGCACGCACATGGGATGAGAACCCATCATTCATGTGTGCGTGTGTGCGTGCATTTGTGTTTGTGTGTGTTTGACTTGACAGAGGGGTGGGGGGTGCTTTATTGAAAAGTACTCCTCTCCTCCCCTGTTCAACATGCTGGATTAGCACCAGC